GTACATTGCAAGGAAAATAAAAATGTATAACCAATGAAGATAAAATGAAAATAAGTTGTATCCTCCTTAACATGTGCAAAATAGAGAAAAAATATTGAAATACTTTTTTTTGTGTGTGTTGAAACCCAACCAAGGAATCTGCAAAATAAATAAATAAATAAATTGTGTGCTTTTTACATTTCAAATTCTTTTCACAATTCAAAGATAAATTTTTGAAACTTTACAGGTAACAAATATACAAAACTGATTTAGCTACAATATTACTTTTTTTAATTTTTTTTAGGGCTGTGGAAATTAACGATTATTTCCTCGATTAATCGTTAATTTTCGTGATCGATTAAAATCTTTTTGATCGTTACTCACCTCTCCGCCGGCTTCCGGGTCTTTCCCGGGATGTCCGTGACGTCACCGGACTCCTCCCCCCTTTCCTGAGTGGCTCCATAGGCTAACGAAGGGAAGGGGGGAGGAGTCCGGTGACGTCCTTCTATAGTTGTCATTCTGAGTTGCCCCACTCAAGCGGCGGCCATATTGAGTGGGGCACGTGAGATTAAAGTGACATTAAACCCTCAGATTTTTTAACATAAAACAATACTGTAATGTGCGCCTTACTCTAATCCATGGTTGTTTCCCTTCTCTTTGCTGCTCTTCCTTTTAAATCTGTATCTGTTCTCATGCTGGGCAGAACTTCTGTTTTTGCAGCAGACTGCCTTGTCTCTGGAATGGATACATGGTGTCTGTGTGTAGGTTTCTATAGGCTTGTAACCTGAGCCAGCACTACAAGAAGAGGCCCTGAGCTGAAAACAGAAGTTCTCCCCCAGCATGAGAAGACATGAGGATTTAAAAGGAAGAGCAGCAAAGAGAAGGGAAACTACCATGGATTACAGTAAGGCGCACATTACAGTATTGTTTTATGTTAAAAAATCTGAGGGTTTAATGTCACTTTAATAACGTGCTGGATTAGTGTGATCCTAGTTCATTTTATTACTTCATTACTGTGCTGTATGTGTATAGGCCAATGTAGTTGGATCTGTATGTGCGTTATCATTAATCGAAATTAATCGATTAATCGATTTTAAAAAAATTCGATTAATCGAACACGAAAATTTTAATCATTACCAGCCCTAAAAAATATTCAGAGTTTCACTAACAAAATTAAAGGACAGATTTACTTTTACTATAATCTGTTCTTTTAGGCCTCATTCACACGGCAATCGGCCGGCACGTACAGCTCTGTGCTGCGTGCACGGGCGTATCGGGCAGCTCCCAAGTGCAGGTCCGTACGAGTGCGAGTGTCCCGGCTCCGACGCAGAGAGGATCCATCCTGTCAGCGTACGAGTACATTTACCCGCGCGGACGTGCAGGGCGGGTGAGCGTAGGGGGGGGGGCGTACTTCCGCGTACTCCCATAGAGAAGGACGGGGGCTGTGTACTAATCACACGCAGCACCTGTCCTTCCCCGGAGCTGCCCGATACGGCCGTGCACGCAGCACGGAGCTGTACATGCCGGCTGATTGTCGTGTGAATGAGGCCCTAATGGGGATTTTCAAAAACATTTTTAAAATTTCATTTACATTTAGGGCAGAACCAGAATAGGATAATACAGATGTATAAAGTATTACCCGTCTGAAGATGTGTTATATTTGCTTAGTAGGGGTGTCATTTAGCTACTAAATTTTAATGTTTAACAATTACATTGTATTTTTAAAAAAAATTTACATGCTTTAGGTCCCGTTCACACCAAAATCGGATAGAAAATGCGTCTGATGACTTGCATTTCTAACCTCTGTTGATTTCCTTTGCTTTTTTTTTTTCTCTTTTCTTCCAATCTTTATTTGAATGAACATATCCTGAATGGACAAACATCTTTTTTTTTTTTTTTTACTTCCTCTCCATAGCGACTACATCAATTTTATGCTCCATTACATTACGTAGCATGCTCTACTTATTTTTCATTGAACCGCAATGGAACGGAACAGATTGCAGTGGTGTGAACTGGTCCCATTCATTTTCCAGAGCCCTTAAAGGAGAGCGATGAGGTGAGTGAAAATCACTCATCCGCATAGTTCGAGCCGACGAGTGACAATGAAACTGTCACAGGTCGGCTCTATTGATCGGGAAGTGAGAGAACACATACCGTCGCTCCCTCACTTCTCGATCATGTCCCTGCAGAGAGCCGTGACTGTCACTCATGGCTCCCTGCAGGGATTCCCCACTCCGATCCTCCGGCACTGACTGGAGGAACGGACGGGGGAGGGGATGGGCACAGCTGGCTCTGCATCTAGATAGGCAGAGCCAGTTGTCACTCACACAGCTGGGTGGATCTCGACAGTATTGTCGGGATCCGTCCTGGCTGCGGCGGTCTCAGTATAAAGCAAACTGTAGCTCGCTATATACTGAGCTTTGGGTCACGGGAGGACGCTAGTATATGTCCTCCTGTGACCCTCAAGAGAGCTATAGGGAAAAACACTGACCCCACAGTTCTCTTTTAAGTGTTGATGGAGGAATCTGTACTATTACCTTCGTTCAGCCGGCAAGTTGAACGAAGAAAACAGAAGCATGTACAGTATACCCGACTTTAGTCAGTGTAAACATAACTTTGTTTACATACAGCTGTCTGCAGACCAAGACATGCAAACAACAAGAAAGGCAACAGGGATTTCTCCGAATGTTCCTTTCTTTGCTGCATGTACTTTGGTGATACTAACCTGACCTCTTGTTTTTATTAGGATATGTTGATGGCTACACTGTACAGTGCAGATCGTAGACAGGCTGGATGTAAACAAAGCAATTTTACATTGATTTGTGGTGACGGCTCTCAGAACACAGGGACAGAAAGCACAGTTATCCCCCAATCCCGATGTGTGCACACGTGTGCAATTTTCTTGTCACTTGCAACAGAAGAACAAATATGTGCCAGTTCCAGTGATATCCCTCAAAGCGCCATTGCATATTTCAGGTTTGTTATCACTTTTTCCTCCTCCGAGCCTTTTTAAAAAACGATTACAAGGCTAGACCGCTTTTTTTTTTTAACTTAAAGCCATATAAGCTGTTCACCTTTCAAGGAATGTTTCCTTTGGCTTAGTGAATGTGGCGAAAATCCACTTTGCAATGATTACCCAATCACATCCAAGCAAATGAGAAAAAACAGCAGTTTTGCTTGCACGTGATTGGGCGATGGGAGTCAGCTGAGCTTCATCTCATTGACTAAGATAAGAGAACATTCCCTCGAACAGCGTACTTGCTTTCAGTAAATGAACCGCATTGCATCTCAGATTAGCGTTATACGTTCGGACGGCAGGTTGGCATTAGCAAGGGTGGGACGAGGGGGCTCCAGGCTCTTACCACATAAGTAAAATCCCAAACGGAACCAATAACAATAGAGAGGGCCAGGATACTCGGGCTGAGCTGTCTGTAGGCACTGGATCCCACACCTGGGAAGTTGAAGGCGTCATATAAGTCGTCGTGGTCGTGGACGTGATTGTCGTCGTGGTTTCTGAGAGAGAAGAGAAAACAAGAGGTTATAATACAGATCAATGTCTGACGACTGCACTGTATGTATTAATTGACTGACATTTACCAAATATTACACATGTGCAGGGCCGTCCTTTTAAAGAGGCAGCCTAGGGTTGTTGCCTCAGGTGGCATCTCTTTGGGTGATATGGGGGGAGTGGCAGCCACTTTGTTGCACAATATTTGCAGTGTGCCTGCCGTCCCCTTTCTGGCCAGAAAGTCCCAGGTTGCTAAGAGCTGGGGGGGGGGGGGGGGGGGGGCAGGCACGTGTG